CGAAGAGCGGCTTCCCAGCCCTTGGATCCCCTTGGTGGCCCTGCTCTGGACCCCCTCCAGCCTGCCCACAGCTTTTTTGTGCAGCGGGGACCAGAACTGGACACAGGATTCCAGGTGTGGCCTGGCCAGTGCTGAGCAGAGTGGGATGAGGGCTCCTGTATCCCTGCTGGTGATGCCCGTGTTGATGCCCCCCAGCACCCTGTTGGTCTTGGCCACAGCAGCGCACAGGAGCAGATGTGCATCCCCAGGAGACTCCGTTCCCTCTCCCACCACCTGGCAGGACCATTGCCCCTCCAGCTGTAGGATCACTGCCAGCTGCCCATCTGCACAGACCCCACTATTAGGTTGGACGTTGGGAACAATTCCTTCCCCTTGGGGCTGTCAGGCACTGGAAGGGGCTGCCCAGGGAAGGGGTCGAGTCCCCAGCCCTGGGGGGATTTAACAGCCGGGCAGGGGCGGTGCTGAGGGCCAGGGTTTGGGGGTGGGATGGCAGGGGTAGGGGAACGCTTGGGCTGGGGGAGATTAAAGGGCTTTTCCAACCTAAATGTTTTTGTGATTCTATGATTCCCAGTCTTCCCCACCGCTCCTGGGGCCCCTGCAAGCTACACTCTGCAGGCAATCGCTGTGCCCTGTGTTGTAAAATTTCCCTTCCAGCCTTGCTTGAGCTTTGCTAACAAGCTCCTTGGGGCAGGAGGGCTCTGACTGCAAGCCCCTGCCCAGGCATTTCTCAGCATGACTCTAAGTTAACAAACTGTTTGGTAGCTGATGGGAAAGAACAAGGAGAACCCAAAGCCTGACAGGTCCTGCAAGAAGAGGACAAGGAGAAACCGCTTGCACGCCCCTGGTGCATCCAGAGGGAGGTCCCAACAGCCCCACGTCCGAGTCTTCTGCCTCACAAACCATGCAGCCCGCCGTGGTTTGCACCCCCCGAGGGGCACCAAGCCTTCCGTGCCCCTTCCTCCAAGGGCTTACGCGGGTCTCGTGTGGTGCCGTGCTCGGGCTTCGCGTGGAGATAAATGCCACCCTTCGGTAGGGAGCTGCAGAGCTGGAAATCAAAGACAAAGAGAGGGCGGCCCACCAGCCCGTCCCAGTCGCGGATCTGGGCATCTTGCCCTGAGCCCCAC